ACGTGACATGTTCGTACGAACCCTTTGTACGAACAAAAGTAAGAGAAATTTAGGATAAGAATATGAACATGTTCTTGCATGAGGCCCAATGTTTTCTTCAAATACACAGGAAGCTTTAGGGAAAGAAAAATGATCAAATTTAATTCATATTTCTACTCTCTAATGAAGTCATGATCAAAGGTTTAAATTCTTACAGAAGTATATATTTTTATTTTGTTGTATATAGAATTTATTCAGTTTTTTAAATGAAATAAACAGAAGAAAGTTGAGCTCCAGTAGTTGGAGCCTCTTCAGCTGATCGTCCTTCACAGCTCTTTTTGTGAAAAATTAACAGTCATTCTGATTCACAGTAAAAAAGTCAAACAAACTTATATTAAATATTGGCAGAGAGAAGATGGAGTAATACACATTAATTTTCAGTAGGACAGAATAATTTTGTGTGTTGATGCAGTGAATTATGTAATTTATTTGTTAAAGGTTGAACATAAGAGCTTATTATACCTGATCTTACTGTTTTCATATTTAATCTTTATTTGCTGTCATGTCTGTTTAGTACGGTTACACACATATAATAACACTCACTTTTATCCACTTGAATAAATTTAAAGAATAAAAGTTTAGATTCATGTAAAATGTCTCTTTCTCTTGCAGCAGCAACAGTATTACTTTTTTATTTTTATGTTTTTTAAATATATGTTGATATTCTCCATATGCCGTCATTAAGATTTCTAGTTCCAGCAAGAAATGGACTTCCTGTCTTCTTATTTTCTCTCACTGTCATGGTGAATCACGTTATCTGACTTCCATTGATGAGGGCTTTGTGCTCCAACTTAACTCAAGGGTAACTTGAGTCAGGATTGAGTTATCCAATTGATATCAGCTCTGAAACCAAAAATCCTGAGTATCACAGGGCGGGGTAAGTTGATTCAGAGTATCTGCGTTTGTTAAGCCTGCTTTCTGAAACGGGGCTCTGGACATGACACTTAAAAAACACAATTCTCCACTGAAGAAGAAATAAAAACTCCTGGGTTATACAGACCGGAGCTGATGAATGAATGAGAAAACACAAGAATCCTCAAACACAGAAAACAAAACAAAATGACTAAAATAGTAATAAAACTATTGGTAGTCGTAAAACCAAACGAAGGTTCCCAGAAACACAAATACTGACAAACAAAACTCAAAACAAGTTTATGTTACACACTCCAAGTTACCCTTGAAATACCTGATGAAGAGTCTCAGCCACTACCACACCAAATTTTAGCTCAATAATGTTTTTGCTAACACACAAACAAGCTCACAGATGCAGGCAAGCTGCAGCTGAAACCGATGGAGACATCTTTAGCTGTGGTGTTAATGCGATTAATGACTCAAGAAGACATCCAGCTTCCACTAATCTTCATGTCTAAACACAACTAAAAGAAAACGTCTCTTTTATTTGACATATTCTTCATTTGTTTTTGTTTTCTAATAAACGAAAAGACGCTAACATGTCGTCACCAAGATAACCTCACTCCTTTAATCCCATTATGACTCAACAAGACGCTCAGCTGGAACAAAAAAATAAATAAAAAAATTAATAAACCCATGCCAACTTAAAAATTAGAATAATCCTCCGTGCATGAATAAACGGCCACTAATGACAGCGTCCTCTGTGTTCCTCAGATCTGTTTAATGAAACGGCTTTGAAAGAATAAAAAAACGACACGCAGCGTTCATGAACCTGTCAAACACGCTGACGTGTTTCTGGCACAAACACAACATCAGAAGAGCCAAGGTGGAGATTTCTGACTGAATTAGTCATTTTCACAGCCTGGCAGTAATATTCCAACTATTTCTACTGGACTAAATAAAACCATTCAGCTGTTTTAACTGGAATATTAACATTTACTAATTTCATGTTCCTGGGACGAAATTATTAGCATAACTACTGAAAAATACTTTATACATATATATATATATATATACAGTATATGAAAAAAATCGAACTCACGGGGGTGAAGCCAAGCAGCAATGCTGCATTACATGGTGGTTCTAAAGCAGAATGCAAATTGGGAGTGCGTGTAACAAGCTGGCACAAACACAAATGTAGTCTTAATCCCTTCTTGTCATTTGTTATGACTACAGACAGCGCCAGGTGCTTCTCACTGCTGTAAGAATTTCCAGCACGGGCTGAGTTTTCATATTTACAGACACGCACACAAAGCCAAGTCCAGATTATAAAACAACATTTACGACCACTGCCAGCACTTTTAATGTCATATTTCTCCCCCATCATGTCATGTTGTTCTTTTATTCAGGGGACAGCCGTGCCACAAACTCATTAAATGGCCATCCAAGCTGTAATTTGGGGCATTTGTTAAGCTTGTCATCCACTTCCTGCTTCTGCCCCGAGTCCTTAACTTTTAGATGTTGCCTTAAATCTTCCCTTGGCTAAGTAAAAGTCTCAAACTCGGTGTGATTTATTTCTGAACTGACGGTGTTATGAAGGCCTCTGACATGACGTAACTACGACACGACTGCCTTGTCAGATAAGAGCGCGCAGCCAAAGCTAAAGGCTTTACTGTGATGGTTATAAGAGAGAAAACCCCTGACATAAAAGGCATGATGAAACTCGAGGCTGGTGCAGAATATTGAAATCTGATCTGGTTGCAGAAGACTAGTGGAGATTAGCACATGTGAAACAGTTTTGAAGGGTACCTTCGTTTGAGTGGGTGGTAAGAAAAGAAATATTCTCTCCAAGCTGGTGGAAGCTTTTTGACTCTCAATAGAAATGATTGGACAGTGTTGAATACTTTTCACTTCAGTGGAAATTTGATTAGAAAGGACAGGTTTGAGTGTGTGCGTGTCTGCGAATGTGTGAGTACTGAGCACAGAATGTGAGAGTGTGTCATCAGGCCAATGAGACAGACAGACAGGGTGAGATCCGTCTAGCTGCCAGAGAGGTTAATAGCGTGGCCCCGCTCATGCCAGCAGCACCGATGGATTCATTACTTTCAGCCAGACCTACAGAGACACTCACCAACACAGCCTTTGATTCTATAACACCTAAATGAATGCAAGCCGTCTGTGTAAAGGGATTTCCTACGAAATAAGAAATCCAAACCAACGCTCACCCTTTCCCAAACACGTAATCATCATCAGATGCAGATCAAAGCTTGCTCGCTCCAATGAAACTGAAGCAACACTATCACAGTGATCAGTGATGACAGTCTGGTGTAACTCAATGGGTCTCAACTGGAACACCACTGTTCTGGGATTGTTGAGGATTAGGTCACCATGGAGATTAAGACTAGACAACCGTAGGTGGGTTCCATTCCTCTTTAAAAAAAGGTATCAGCAGAGAGAAGAGAAGAGATAGACAGAGACACAGAGGCTGAGGAAAGTGGTAAATATACTTTCTCGGTCCAATGGGGAAGAGAGGGGAAAAAAAGCTTACTAATGACTATTAAACAGGATTTTGTTTTTAAAATTGCACCAGGGAGAGAATCAGCAAATGTGCTGGATTAGGAAATCTCCATTGTTACATTTATTTTCTCCATTTGCTAAAAGCTGTCCGGGTAAAAAAATGCGTGCAGAGCTAATTGTTTGCTTGAGTTTGCAGAATTTAATAAACTGTTCAGCCTAGGATCACTGAGGTGAAAAATCTACCAGGTACATAACATTTCTACGTAATCCTAGAGACCTGTTACACAACAGTCATTTTAACACATCATTGAATAAACAGCAGCTAAACACTGTACATTTTATGTATGTATATGTACACACACACACACATGTATATGTGTGTATATGTATATTTTATATATGTATATATATAAAATTCTGTCCACCAGTAACTGGTAAAGCTCTTAAATCTATTTCAACTCAAAATATAAACATCAAATTTAAATGACTATAAGTTTCAGCTCCCTAAAGCTCTTAAGTATGGAGTCCGTCTGGTGACATTGGATAAAAAATTAATGCATGGCCATGAGAAAAATAATGCGTGACCACAAGATAATAACTTGTGACCATGAAATAAATAACGCATGGACACGAGATAATAACTTCTGGTCATGAGATAAATAACGCATGACCACGAGATAAATTCTGGCCATGAGATATTTATTTATTTATTTATTTAATTATTTATTTATTAATTTTTATTTGTTTGTTTGTTTGTTTAAACTTTATTTATCCAGGTAAACTGTTTGAGAACCATTTCTCATTTACAAACATGACCTGGCCAAATGACCATGAGATAAATTCTGGCCACTAGGTAAATAATGCATGACCACAA